GTACTACTACTATTTTACAAGTTACTACTACTACGACTATAATACTATGGACTTCTTAATACTACTACTACTAGCACTACTATACTACTACTACGGTGTTAACGACTAAGCGACTAGTAATGACTACTTACTACGACTACTACTACTACTACTACTACTAATATTACTACGATTACTACTACAAGTACTACTACTACTATTAGTACTACTTGTAGTAGTACTTGTATCAGTAGTACTACTACAAGCACTACTACTAAAGGTACTACTACTACTACTACTAATACCACTCTCTCCTCTCTCCTCTCCTCTCTCCTCTCTCCTCTGTCCTCTCTCCTCTCCTCTGTCATTTCTCCTCTGTCCTCTCTCCTCTACTCTGTCCTCTCTCCTCTCCTCTCCTCTGTCCTCTCTCCTCTCCTCTGTCCTCTCTCCTCTCCTCTGTCCTCTCTCCTCCCCTCTGTCCTCTCTTTCCTCTCCTCTGTCCTCTCTCCTCTCCTCTGTCCTCTGTCCTCTCTCCTTTCCTCTCTCCGCTCTCCTCTCCTCTCCTCTGTCCTCTGTCCTCTGTCCTCTCCTCTCTCTCCTCTCCTGTTCCTACTAAAAACCCGGACTTTTGAAAGTCCGGGTTTCCTCGCTCCTCTCCTCTGTCCTCTGTCCTCTGTCCTCTCCTCTCTCCTCTGTCCTCTGTCCTCCCCTCTCTCCTCTCTCCTCTCTCCGCTCTCCTCTCTTCTCCTATGTCCTCTGTCCTCTCCTCTGTCCTCTGTCCTCTCCTATCTCCTCTCTCCTGCTGCTACTAAAAACCCGGACTTTTGAAAGTCCGGGTTTTGATTTTTTGATTTCCGGGTTTTTCGCCTCGGAGGAGGAGGAGGAGGAGGAGGAGGAGGAGGAGGAGGAGAAGGAGGAGGAGGAGGAGGAGGGGGAGGAGGGGCAGGAGGAGGAGGAGGAGGGGGAGGAGGCGGACCAGTGCAAACCCAAGACTCACCAGCGATACTGCAAGTGGATCCTGGACGAAGCGCTGCCCAAGGGGAACAGGTCGGGGCCTCTGGGGCCGCGGATTGAAACGAAAACACGCCGTCGGGTGCCTGAGAGGGGCGGTCTGTTCTTGTGTCCGCCGCGGGTTCGGCGTGGATCGACGCGGGTTCGGCGCGAACAGCGACGCGATGTGGCACACGGGCCCCCCGGAGATGCGGCACGACCCATGCATTGTGCCCATGCCGCTTCCTCGACGTAGCAGCCTCTTTGCAAGGGGACGGGTCTGGGCCTCCCAGATGGGGTCAGAGCAGATGGGGTCGGAGGATCGCGCCGCATCGACGATGCATCACCGATGCGGCTCGATACGGAGCCCGATTTCCTTCACGCCGACGTCGCCGATGCACCGCCGATGCATCGCCGATGCATCGGCGATGCGGCACGATCCTCCGACCCCATCTGCTCCGACCCCAGCTAGGAGGCCTCTAACGGGGGTCATCTCTCAGATGCCCTCCCGCGCTCCTAATTACACGAGGCGCCTTCTGGCCCTTTCCGCGGGTGCCGCGAGGTGGGGCATGCCGCGGCCGGCGCTCGGGCCGCTTCCTCGACGCAGCAGCCTTCCGCTCAAGGGGCGGCCCCCCCCGTGCCACTCCGCGAGGCGGCTTCCAGCCCTGCCTTCCAGAGATCCGACGCCCCCGCATTAAGGAGGAGGAGGAGGAGGAGGAGGAGGAGGAGGAGGAGGAGGAGGAGGAGGAGGTGGAGGAGGAGGTGGTGGAGAAGGAGGGGAGGAGGAGGAGGAGGAGGAGGAGATCAGGGCTTCCAGCCCTGCATTGGAGCGGCGGGTTGATCTGGGGCCGTGTGCGGCCTCCGGGGGCCCTCGCCAGGCCTCGGGACCGTCAAGAGCAGAGCTCGGAGCAGCTCGGGGCGGAGTCCGGGCCCTGGGGAAGTGGTCCAGGCCAGGGAGGGACCTCAACAGTGTTCTGGCGATTTCGCAGGCCGTTTTCGCTTCGATGTCGTTTCGCGTTAGAGGCGGATTGGAGACAATACGAGGGAAAACGAACACAAAACGAAAGCGAGAAACATCGTTTAGGTTCAGCCCTGTTCCAGACCTCCGGGGCCCACGCATCGAAGACGCGGGAGCAGGCAGGCGTCCGGGCCCAGCCCTCGCTGGGGTGCCGCGAGAGGGGCCGGCCGCGGCGCGTCGCCGCCGGACAGAATTAAGCCCCCAGTCCTTGTGCACGGTTCCCCTCTCCGCCTGGCCAGCGCTCTGGCCTCCTCCTCCTCCTCGTCCTCCTCCTCCTCCTCCTTCCTTCCTCCTCCTCCTCTCTCTCCTCCTCCCCTCTCCTCACCTCCTCCTCCTCCCCCTCCTCCTCCCCCTCCTCCTCTTATGTCCCCTCTCCGCCTGGCCGCTTCCTCGCTGCTCCGGCGCTGCAGCTGCTTCCGGCCCCTCCAGGTCCCTGCACGGTCGCTCCACCCGCCCAGCCACTTCCCCTCTGCTCTGGCGCTGCGGCCGCTTCTTCTTATTCGTATTGTTCGCATTCTTCTTCCTATCGTCATAAGTATTGTTATCACAGTTATTATTGTTATTCGTATCATTGGTAATAATAACAGTTTCATTAATCGTATTCGTAATGTTGTTACAATCTTTATGTTCAGTGTTATAACTGTTGAGAAGTGCTTGTAATAGTTGTCTTATGAGTGTCAGTATTATCAGCATACATATTTTTGCCAGTTTAGATATTAGTTGTCTTAATCGTTTTATGTCATTATGATTCTTCTTCTTCGTAAAATCAGTGTTACCGTGATTTATATGATTTCATTTCTTCCTATTGTTGTTTGTTTTTCGATTATTGTGATTATAATTCCTCTTCTTATCTTAAAGGCTGCCGCCTCTGCCGCCGACCCCCATGAAAATTATGGAACTATGGGTGATTCGTGCGGGTGTGATAGTCGCCGCCGAGAAATCGGGGGGCCTTTCCGGGTTTTCTTGGGGTCATCTTGCACGTCTGGGATGCGTTTTGGGGGTTCCTGACAAAAAAAAAAAACACACAAAGAGGGTCCAGGAGGGTGGGGGTGTCAGACGTGGTGGGGGGGCGCGGTGGGGTTGCCGGCGCCTGTTTTTGTAGGGTGGGGGCTCCTTGAAAAAAAAACACAGAGAGCGTCCAGGAGGACGGGGGTGTCAGATGTAGTCGTGGGGCGCTGTGGGGGTGCCGGCGCCTGTTTTTGTAGGGTGGGGGGTCCGTGAACACACAAAGAGGGTCCAGGGGGGGGGGGTCAGACGGTGGTGGGGGGGGGGGGCGCGGTGGGGTGCCGGCGCCGTTTTTGTGGGTGGGGGGGTCCCTGAACAAAACGATACAAAAGAGGGTCCAGGAGGGTAGGGGTGTCAGAGTGATGGGGGGGCGCAGTGGGGTGCCAGCGCCTACTTTTGTAGGGTGGGGGGGGTCCCTGAACAAAAAAGCACACAAGAGGGTCCAGGAGGACGGGGGTGTCAGACGTGGGGGGGTAGCGCGGGGGGGGTGCCAGCGCTATTTTTTTTGTTGGGTGGGGGGGACCTGAACAAAAAGCACACAGAGGGTCCAGGAGGGTGGGGGTGTCAGACGTGGTGGGGTAGCGCGGTGGGGGTGCCAGCGCCTATTTTTGTAGGGTGGGGGGTCCCTGAACAAAACCACACAAGGAGGGTCCAGGAGGGTAGGGGTGTCAGACGTGGGGGGCGCGGTGGGGGTGCCGGCGCCTGTTTTTGTAGGGTGGGGGGTCTTTGAACAAAAAGCACACAAAGAGGGTCCAGGAGGGTGGGGGTGTCAGACGGGGTGGGGGGGCACTGTGGGGGTGCTGGCGCCTGTTTTTGTAGGGTGGGGGGCCCCCCCCAACAAAAACAGTCAAAGAGGGTCCAGGAGGGTGGGGGTGTCAGACGTGGTGGTGGGGGGGGCGCGGTGGGGGTGCCGGCGCCTGTTTTTGTATTGTGGGGGGTCACTGAAAAATGGGGGCGTGGTGAGGGCCTGCTGGGGGTGTCGGTGAATTTCGGGCCAGAAGTTCGAAACTAGAAATTCCTGCGTGGGGATCGCAAGAACTGCGCTCTCGTGGGGTGGTGGTGCTTCAAGCTTGCATTTATCTTGTAAGGGGGTTCGAAGGACTTGGTTCTCGTAGGGTGGGCCTCGAGTGCACGCTTCTCCTCACACGCCTCTGGGGTCGGCGGATTTTTGTTGTTGTTGTTGTTGTTGTTGTTGTTGTTGTTGTTGTTGTTGTTGTTGTTGTTGAACATTATTCCTTCTTAAGAATTATTATTGTTGGGACCCCTGGTGCGCGACCTCTGCGCCGCGCCTAGGCCGCAGCTACATTTTCATCATTTTTTCGCGAAAGCTTCAGAAAAGTGGATTGTGTCCGGATCCGGTTGTTTTGTTGTAATCCGTTTTCCCTTGCAAAAAACACTATAAAATGAAAATTCTTGTTCTTACTTGATCAAATTGCAAGAATCCCTTGCAAAAAATAAGGTAAAGTGGACATTCGTGCGCGCAAGACGAAATCCTTCAAAACCTTAGGTTTCGTAGCGATTTTAACATAAAAACATCAAAAACCCAATGGTTTTTTAAGAAAAAATTGTCAAAATGTTCTTCCGCGCGCTCTTGCGGATTCGTAGGAAAACCAACACTTTTTAAACAATTCTGTCAAACGGGCTTTTGCGAGCAACTTTTTCGAACTTCTGCGACAACGGTTGCGCACCTGCCAGGGCCATCATCCCTGTCAAATAATACCATGCGGGACACATTCGTTTTTTCTTCGCGCGCGCACGCCGAAATCTCCAAAAACCATTGGGCTTTTAAGAATTTTAGCACCGCGCATCATAAAATCACACGAATCGCACCGTAGGTCCTCGAAAAACACCTGCACGACTTTTCAAAATTTCACCCGCGCGCGCTGGTCTTTTTGTGTTACCATAATCAAATTTCAATATCCCTTGCAAAAAAAAGTAAAGTGGACATTCGCGCGCGCAAGACCAACAAAAAACACGACGATCTCAGGAACTTGCCCCAAAAATGTGACCAACTCCGCTCTCTCTGTCTCTCTCTCTGTCTGCTCTCTGTCTCTCTCTCTGTCTGTCTGTGTCATGTATTGTATGTCACAATTGCAGGATGCTGGGCACACGCGCGCCCCGAATAAGTGACCAAGTTCTGTGGGTGTGTACCCACGCCAGTGTAGTAGCCACGGTCGTCCGCACGCCACGAAGTGAAGTGTCCCAACGTCATAGGGCGGGAAGCTGGGTTTGGGTGGTCGCGAAGAGTCGTTTGGATATTTGGTAGAGCTTGAACTGCCCCCCCACGAAGTGGGGGTATTGTCTCGCGTCGCATGAAAACCCTGGCACTGGTGAGAACACCAGCGTTCGGGTAAAATGATTGTTGTTGTTGTTGTTGTTGTTGTTGTTGTTGTTGTTGTTGTTGTTGTTGTTGTTGTTGTTGTTGTTATTCTTCTTCCATGCTCTTCCTCGCGACGTGGGCTCCGAGAGGCACCAGCGGCGCACCCTCCCTCGCCCCCCTGATCGTGCCCCCCCCCGTGAGAATTGGGGAAACGTCAGACTCGGGTGCGCCGGAACTCGGGTTTGCCGACGCTTCTTGACGAGCGCGACCTGGATTTTGACGGTCCAGTCTGCGTGGGATGTTTGCAGCGGGAGCTCGCGTCAAATTTCAGATCGCGTCTCGTCCTTTTCATGATGGCCCCGTCAGGCCAGCCCGAGGCCCCCGTGTACCCGAGCCTTACGTCTCCCCGGTGAGAGCACCGATGGTCGAGCGGCTTTTTGGCGGCCCCGAGGCCGGGAAGCGGCGCGAGGAGGCCGACGACGACGGAGAATCAGGAGGAGGAGGAGGAGGAGGAGGAGGAGGAGGAGGAGGAGGAGGAGGAGGAGGAGGAGTCACCGTCGTGTGTGGCGGCGCCGCGGTCTGAGCCCAGAGGTCCGACGGCCTGTTCTTCGCAGCCGTCCTAGGTCGAGTTGGGCTCTCGTTTCGACTCCGCAGCGCCGGGCGGCTTCCCGGCCTCCTGCCTCGCCCCCCTCTTCGGGTCCTCCTCCCTGACTCCAGATCCGCCCTACTTTGGCTTTTTCCGCAACTTAAAATTGCGTCGGAAATCCACCTATAAGAAGCCGAAAAAGTAGGGCGGAAATTTCTGCACCCAACATAAACTAGGGCGGAAATCCACAGAAGTAGGGCGGAAACAGCAACAGACAAGTAGGGCGGAAACTGGCATCAGCGGGGCTTGAAAAGTAGGGCGGGAATCCCAAGCCCTACTTACGAGTTTCCCCAAAGTAGGGCGGATCCGGAGTCATGGCTCCCTCTCTCCCACCACCCCACATTGGACCACCCCTCGCACGTTTCGTGGCCCCACAGGGAGGGCCACGAACCGTGTGAAGGGTGCGCCAAATGGGGCGGGGCCGCCATGCGAACCCTGCCACTGGGGCCTTCGGTGGAGCTCCATATGGGGCCACGAGCCGTGTGAGGGGTGCGTCAAAATGGGGCGGGGCCGCCATGCGAACCCTGCCACTGGGGCCTTCGGTGGAGCTCCACATGGGGCCACGAACCGTGTGAGGGGTGCGCCAAAATAGGGCGGGGCCGCCATACGAACCCTGCCACTGGGGCCTTCGGTGGAGCTCTCTATGGGGCCACGAACCGTGTGAGGGGTGCGCCAAAATGGGGCGGGGCCGCCATGCGAACCCTGCCACCGGGGCTTTCGGTGGAGCTCCCTATGGAGCCACGAACTGTGTGAGGGGTGCGCCAAAAGGGGGCGGGGCCACCATGCGAACCCTGCCACTGGAGCCTTCGGCTGAGCTCCCTATGGGGCCACGAACCGTGTGAGGGGTGCGCCAAAATGGGGCGGGGCCGCCATGCGAACCCTGCCACTGGGGCGTTTGGTGGAGCTCCCTGTGGGGCCACGAACCGTGTGAGGGGTGCGCCAAAATGGGGCGGGGCCGCCATGCGAACCCTGCCACTGGGGCCTTCGGTGGAGCTCCCTATGGGGCCACGAAGCGTGCGATGGGTGATAGTGGTGATGACGGCGATGATGATGACGATGATGGTGATGAGGACGGCATGATGATGATGATGATGATGATGATGATGATGATGATGATGATGATGATGATGATGATGATGATGATGATGATGATGATGATGATGATGATGATGATGATGATGATGATGGTGATGGTGATGGTGATGGTGATGATGATGATGCTGCTGCTGATGCTGATGCTGATGCTGTTTGCTGATGCTGATGCTGATGCTGATGCGATGCTGATGCTGATGCTGGTTTGATGCTGGATGTGATGATGATGATGATGATGATGATGATGATGATGATGATGATGATGATGATGATGATGATGAGGATGATGATGATGATGATGATGATGATGATGATGATGATGATGATGATGATGATGATGATGATGATGATGCGAGGTGGGGAGGGGGCAGCAGGAGGAGGAGGTGACGCGGGGCGCTGTCTCTTCAAAACGAGGACCCACCACCACAGGATGGTTGGGAAAAAACGAGG